AGGCTGAAATCAGTAGGAAGCTTTGTTTGTAAAACTGCTACAGAGCCCAACCCCCTCCGTACCACTACAAAGCACAGCAGTGATACTGTGGCTTCAAGAGGAGTATTACCAGTGACAAACTCAGTAAAACGATCATTCTTCTCTTGTTTCACATTCCCCTCCCTTCCGCCTGGCGTGTTTGTTTTCTGTCTTCTTGATTGACCTTGATGTAAGTGCTGCATTAGCAGAGCATATTTTGGAATGTGATCTGTCTTTTTAACAAAGTTACGACTGGCTTCACTTAGATTTTAATGCAGCTGAGCCTTGATCTTAAGAGACACCTAATCCTTTCTTGCCTCGTTACAATTTTACCATTATTTGCGCTGACAGCACACAATGATGAAAGAAAACAGCCAATGGCTTTTGTGTAAGCAGAAAATCTTGCTATCCTGTTATGATCCTAAAACCTCTGAGCATCCCCTCACTGAGCGTTGATGACATCAAGTGCTGCGCTCCTCGTGCCACCGTAAAAATGTGTTTTCTTATCTACCATAGTTCAACAGGTACAACCAGCATCAAAGTGACAAACAAAAAACGTGTTGGCTTATAAACAAATATTTCCTGCATTTCACACATACTGGCAGTCTTGCGTTAACATAGCTGACATTGTTTGAATTCATACTTTAAGCTTTGTGTTTCTGGTGTCTGAACAGATGTTTTCATGTCTCTCCAGAGCTACATTACATGCAATCTTGTCATCATCAAATATTCTACATAAGTGTTTTTTTCCCCCCCTTCAGCTTCATTTCTAATTATCTCTTGACCCCTTTGTCACGTTGATGGATAGCCCCACAGGATTGTGGATAACAACATCCATCTGGGACACTGCTGACAGTGGAAAGGGACAAGAACATGAGTGTGTTTGGAGTGTGTGGACTTTTGCCTTCTCATAGATGGAAAAGCTGCAAAAACATAGAGGGAAAAGATTGACACTGGAAAGGATTATTATGTATGACTAGTATGAATTCGAGTATGAACCAGCTATAATAAGTTAGCTCAGCTTGCAGAAATAGTAAATATTATATTAGGGCACCGCAGAGCCAGCAGGCCTGTGCATACCTACGTAGATGATACTCTAATGTGCATACCACAAGCATTGTTCCCTTAAAAGATAAGGAACTTTTTTATTGGAAGCCTACGCTCTGCATTGAGCAGCCTTATCCTCTTACAGTAACTTGGCATGTTGCTCTCTGACCCGGCTTGCCAAATTATGCACAATGACGTGTGACCAGCCTAAACTCATACACACCACAACTTTCTTGTTGCCTTCATTACCCCTCAGTGTTGGCCTTCGGCTCTAAAGATAAAAACTCTTGACACTCATCCAGCCAGGATTTAATTGTTGAAGCCCACTTCAAAGCCAGGCCTTATTCACCCTGGTGCCCCTGCTGACAGAAACCCGCTCTCGTCTTCACTGCTGCTTGTGTTTTCTTTTCTTCCTTATCTTGAAAAGAAAGAAAAACCTGGATAAGAAGTGAGAGGGGGGAGAGGGGAAAATGCTTTTGTTCCTTCCGTTGATTTTTCTTTCTAAGGCTCTTAGGCAATGCTTTCCCCACTATTATTACGCAAAGATGTTCCCAAAGTCTGTTTTTTCTTTTGTGTGTGTGTGTGTGCTTTCCTCTTACTGTTTCAGGCTCTTGGGTGATACTGTGTATTAATCAGCCAACATGTCTTCTTCTAGTATGGACCAGAAACCTGAACTCATGCATAAAAACCCCACAGAAGTAAGCACGATTATCGCGTGACAGACAGACAAGGTCACATTAATTCAATCCATTGTCGGTTCATAAACCTAAAATAAGCTTCCTTACTTTTTCAAACTCACCGGCTGTCTGTCTCAGAAATATCTCAAATGCACAGGGGAGAGAAAAGGAAATTACAACTCAAGGAGAGAGAAAGAAGGCTAAAAGGGAGGGGGGAGGGCCATTCCTCAAAATTTTAATCTCTCTTTCAGCCCTCCACCTCCACTCACAGGAGGCAGTCAGTACCAGAGCATATTGGATCAATGCTGCACTGACGCCACAACTGCACCTTATCTTAACCTCCGATCTGCATAAGCCACACATTTGAAGGGAAAGAAAGCAGGCAAATCTAAACTATCAAGCTACAGTTTATCTGTGATCTGGCTATATTCGCTGGGTAAATCCCTCCCCATCCACCTCCACCACAGTTTCTCCTCCATTGGGTTATCAGATGTGCCTGGCCCACTTTGGAATGAGGCACACTCAAATAAACACGTTGCCCCGGGGAGCTACGGTAGAATCGCCACGATGAGTTTCTAAGAAAAATATTCACAGTTTTATCTGCATAGCTTACTCTTCTCTCAAAGCTGCCTTGATGTTGTTGTATATTCTGGCAGCAGACCCCTATACCCGTGTCTGGCCCTGATATATTGTAACAAAGTGAAGTTCCGCTATGTCCAGAAGAAATAAGAACATTTTTTTGGACAACTTCTAACACTCAATATACTTTTTCTACATTTTGAAGAAGGTTAAAATAACGTGTGTGTACCCTCTCTAATACACACGCGATATCATGGCCTGAAACTAAAATGCAGCACCCGGCACAGTGATGCTATGAAAACCTGAAACCATCTGCATGCATTCCAGCTGTTGTTTGATTCTCCCTATCCTCTTTATCTCCTGTTTATCTTCCCAAATCCTTTTATTTTTCCTTGCTCTACACACATATGCAGCACAGCAGCTACACTTTCTTTTCCCCCTTTTTCATCAATGCATCCATAATTTCTGAGCCTGGTCTCAAAAAATGAGTCTCCAAGACTATATCTGGCCTTTGGAGTTGTGACTCAAGTATTTGTTGAGTAGAATATGAATTTCTGAACAGGTGAAAATAAACTGTACATATCACCTGTTTCAGTGAGTGTGTGTATTTAGTCATAGTCGCCAGCAAGCTTATGTCATGATTGCTTTCAGCACGAGATTTTCCAGCACAGAAGGCGTCTAACTTTCCGCATGGCTGACAAAGCTGGACAGTGTTTCCATCCTGTTAGCAGGTGCAGACTCTAAAAACCCGCTAGCTGTTTTGCTTAATAAACATGTAAGGTTTGAGCAGGTTCATGTCATTAACATTTGGCTGAACAGAACAATAGTTCTGCCTTGTTGGAAAGAGTTGGCAGTGGGAGCTCAAGCCTATGCCATAGTTGCTTTTAGTTTATACACTGGAGAAGGAAAATAAGAGATGGGGAACTCTTTCCAAGGAGGGTGCAATTTCAAGGAGGAGCGGAAAGAAAAGTATGCCAAAAGGGAAGGAAAATAAATGCCATAGCTGTGGTGTGATGAGATGATACTCGCCCTTCCTCTGGCTCACTGATGTAGCTGCCTTGATCTCCTCTCCAAGTTCAGACATTGGATACAATGACTTTTTTTGTGCATGTTTTATTAAAAAGTGAAAAGAAAGACCAGAGCATGATATTGAAAAGTTCTTAAAATTTACATCTACTCTTTTGCCACAGTAACATTTACCGGGCCTAAAACTTCTACTTTGTATTAATGAAACAGCAAAACATGGCTAATGATGCCTACTGCATGAGTCAATTAAGGAAAACAACAACAACACTTGATTTTAAACCCTGTATTTAATCATAAATAGTACAAAGACAACAAATGCTGAACCTGTACCAGAGATTATGGAATTTTTATACTATTTATTTAATTTAAAGGAGATATTTTTCACATATTAACATGCAAGTTTGGGAAAAAAAGAAAAAAAAAGAATAGAATCAAAAAATAAAACACACAATAATTTATTTGGCTATTTTGGTGAAATGAGGAGTGACCCCAGTTAAGCAGTGTAAGAACAGTGTTTGTGTAGTGCAAATAACAACTGCATCATTTAAAGCCCTAAAACCACTTTTTCAAGTAACTAAAATTAAATAGTGATATTAAATAAAGTTGACTGCTAAAATCATCAAAGGTGGATAGTGTTGCCTCGTTCTCCAAGGCTGTCTGACTTCTCTATTTCCATTCAGTCCTCTATGCCTCTTCACATCCCTCTTCTCCTTTGAGTTCTTTCAAGCACTGTGTTGACACTTCCAGTGTATTTGTTTTAAGGCCTGGGCTCATTTTGGCTTTGAATCACTGTAATATATCTTATTGATGTTCTACTCTCATCATCAGCAGAACTCCTCCTTCAAACCCAGTTGGAAATGTTTATTAGACATATATAACTAGCTGGCAGGCTGTGTATCAACAACACGGGAAGTGTGAGTCATTTACATCTATGGCCAATTCTTCACAATCGGGTGTAGTGTGGCATACATTATACACACAGACACACAAAGGTGACATGGTTATATTAAACTGAAGATACTCAGGCATGGATTTAATTGTTCAAAGGACATTCGGCTGTTTCACTGGCTCGTGAGAAACAGAGAAACACACTTTGTTGCAGACAAATAGCGTGTGGTTGACAGGCTTCAGTGCCAGTCATTAGCATAGGGAGGACTGTTAACTTTAATCCCACAGAGTGTACGGTGCTGTGTTGGCAGTCTAGATCCAAATTTAAAACTGTGAGATCACTGCATATATCTTGCTGCACAGACTATTACATAGGCAATGTCTTTTAGCCAGAAAAGTGTGGCAGGGTGCCATTATGTCAGCTTTTCACAGAGTATGGCATCAGGCTCGAGACTGAGGTCATGGACACAGCCCTATTGTTTGACCACCTTTGATCACTGGCTGCACATAGGTAAAGCCTTTGATAGTAATCTGGCTTCATGAAATTCAGTAAAGAGCACGCTGTGAATCAATAACTCACTCAAGCCAATTTGGAAAATCTCTGTTGTTCTACATGCCCTTAAATGTATGTGACTGATGACAAAGGCCATAAAATGTTTATATACTGCTGTTGTATCCTATTTACCGGTCAGTATTTATTCTTTATTACTATGAATGTTTATACAGTTGACTAATAGGTTTTTTTTTTATGTTATCTTGTTTCAGGCTGAGCATGGAGAGAGTCAGCACCATGAAGATCTTTCACATTCCTGTGATCCCCTTTGTGTTTCTCCTCATCCTTCCTGATGGCATCTTTTCTAGCGAATGCCCAGTAGGTTGCAGCTGTTCTTCAGGATCCATTTTTTGTTTCCAAAGACGTTCCTCTACCATGCCAAAGGGAGTGGACCCAGTCACAAAAAGCCTCTACCTGTTTTCCAATGGGATTGAAGGCTTGACAGCTGAGGACTTTAATGGACTACAGAACCTGGACATGCTGGATCTCAGTCAAAATAAACTAACCCATCTTCCCAATCGGGTGTTTGAACCTCTGATTTCTTTGCGAAACCTGGACTTGTCATCCAACCAGATCACTCACATTTCAGAGGAATGCTTCCACGGTATGAAACTGCTTGAGCGTCTTTATTTATATAGTAATCACATCAAGACTATCCACCCTGCAGCCTTTAATGGCTTGGAGCACCTAATTGAACTCAAACTGCAGGGGAACCAGTTGACATCCCTTCCAACCCTATCAATGTCTCATCTGCTGTTGCTGGACCTTCGCTTTAATACTTTACCCACTTTGGGTCCTTCAGACCTTCAGACCCCAAACCTCGAGTCACTCAAATTGGGAGGTGTGGGGCTTACCAGTCTGAATGAGGAGCTCATAACTGGTCTGAAGAATCTCCATGAATTGGACATCTCAGAAAACAAACTCGAGTCTTTTCCCTCAGTGCTTAAAGAGACCCCAGGGCTGATTCACCTTAGCCTGGCTGGAAACCCAATGGGTCCTGTTAAGGTTCAGGACCTGCAAAACCTTGGGGAGCTGCAGGAGTTGGACATAAGCAGCCTCAGTCTGCAGGGCCTCCCTGAAGAGTTCTCCCAGCTATTCCCCCACCTCAGAAAGCTCACACTTGCACAAAATCCCTTCAACTGCCTCTGCAACTTAGCATGGTTCCCGAGATGGCTCAGAACCCAGAGCATCACCCTTGAGAAAACAGAGGAGACCCGCTGCCATTTCCCACCTATCAATGCTGGAAAGGTATTAGAAAGACTGGATCATAGAGATTTTGGCTGTCCTACCACAACCACTGTCACCACTAGTACTGTAAAAACAACTACCACCCAGCCTGCTCTAGTCACTACCTTCCCAACAACTACTAAGGTAATTCCCGCTCCTCGGGCCAGTGACAACCCCACTGAAAAAGAAGGTGATTCTCCGGACCCCCCTGTTCCTGCGTCCCCCAGTAGCAGCATAAACCCAGACGAGGAGAATTTCTGTCCCTCTCACAACTGTCTGAATGGGGGTACTTGTCATTTGGACCAACGTGGTCAGGTAAAGTGCACCTGTCCACCTGGTACCTCTGGCATGTACTGTGAAATCCAAAACCATCACCCACCTTCACCACCTGATGCAGAACCCCACATACCAACTGTCACTGCAGACACACTCGACATCAGCTTGCGTGAGATAACCGGAACTTCTGTCCTCCTGGACTTTCATCGCTACACTGAAAAGCAGCCTAACATCCATGGAATCCGTTTAACCTACCGCAATCTCTCTGGACCAGATCGCAGACAAATTCAATTCAATCTCCCTCCAACCTTGCTGGAGTACACACTTAACGGCCTGAATCCTAACTCCACCTACATGGTGTGTGCCAGTCCATTAAGGTCCCCCAATGGCATAGACAGCGTCTGCACTGAGGTCCATACAGCCCCTCGAATCCTTAGAGGCACTATTCCACTGGTTGAGGATCCAAAGCTAACCAAAATGCTGGCCCCTGCAATTGTGATCCTGCTACTTCTTATACTGATAGCAGTAGCAGTGGGAGTGGTATGCTATCTTCGCAGGAAGAGGACCAAGGGCAACCTAGACCTTGACTGTGATCCCTCCCAGCTAGAGTTGGATGGAGTTAAAGCTGGCTTAGACAATGGGCCCCTGCCTCAAAAGCAGTTGCAACTTATGATCCCAGAACCTGCTGTTCAGAGTGGAAATCAGGAATATGAGGTTTTACTACTACAGGATCACTGTATGTCAAATAACAACATATCTTTACATAAGCCTTCCTGCTTTTGACAACTGCCTTTTTCACTACTCTAATCCCAATGAGGATTTTTAAATGTTCAACTTTGCCCTCCTAAGTAAAAAAAAGAAAAAGAAAAAAGGAGCAGCTACTGCCGTTGTGAAAGTGGACAACAAAGTGTCAGCTGACCAACCAGGAAACAGGAAGATGGACATATATTGAACTTCCTGGTTATTTCGTTGTCTAAGCAGACGTTAAACAAGTTCAGAATTTGCTTTTGGACTTCAAAAAGCATAAAATGTGCTTTTCACTCCATTTAAAGGCTGCATATTTGCTTGAATGCAGTCAGGCCCCATGGTGTGATATGATGCTGGAACTCGTGTTTTTTTTGTCATTGACTGAAAACAGGGTTAAGAGACAGAATCACCTCATGCTCTCCTTTATCTGTCCATAAAGGGGTGTGGACTAAAATGGGGTTGTGCTGCCTTTCCCGATCACACCAGCCCAACTAAAACAGTCAGCAATTTTTTTTTGCTGAGTGTAACTCATCAGTACTACCCCACAACGGGATCAGTGCTTGCTTGCTGTGAATGACCTTTAAGACACTAAATGAAGTTGTGCAAAGAAAAAACTGATGCCTTTATTGTTTTATCTGGCTCTAAGACTTTGTTATGTATGTTTGTCATGCTTTTTTTTTTTTTATATCTGTGACTATTATTTTTTAAAAATTGTGCAACATTGTGACTGTTAACAGCCCTCAGCACCCTCCTCCCCACCTCTTGTGACTAACAGACAAAACAGCAGATTAAAATCTTTGAAGATTAAAACTCATTGGTACCAGTAAAGTCAATCAAAGAGCTTTGCCCCCAGAATATCAGACAGTCTAAGTAGATGTGAGTCTGGACAGAGTCGAGACTAAATCCCCCTTCTCCATACTGGAGCCCTCAGCCTGCTTTGCCACCACAAAGAGAGGAGGTAAGCAGGATTAGAAAAAGTACAGAGGGGAGCAGTTGACATATCCCCCTCTGTTTCACAGGTAATTACAGTAAAACACTTGACAATACGCAGCAAAACTTCGGATACCTTATTTATGGTTTATAGTCACCGTTTTATCCCTCAACCAAAATACACTTAAAACATACTAACCGGCCTGGCTGACAAAAAGTAAAGCAAACAGTGGATGTGTATTGTGTTTCCCTTGATTAAAAAATAGCCTGCATGTAACGCTATGCACAATTTCTCTTTGGCAAGCAGGATCCCGGTTTTGCTCATTCGTACTAAACGAGACTATGAACAGGCACAAGCCAGAATGCAGCTAACAGAGTGTTTATATTGTTGTGAGACTAGCAGAGATCCACTGCATGACTGCTATTATTACAGACAGGTCAGTAAGCTCCAAAGCAAATTAATGAGAGGTGCATGAGGGGGTGCAGGTGCGTGTATGTGTGGATGCGTATGTGTGTGTGTGTGTGTATGTGTGTGTGCAGATCTGTCATCATCAGCGATAATGCAAGCACATGTTCTGTCTTGCACAAACACCTGTATCAGTTAACCCCTTTATGTGCCCACATGCCTGCGGAGGTACTTAAGCAACTCCACTTAAAGGCAAACACACCAAAGACACCTCTGTGAATGTCTGTAAAGTTACCTAAAGTATTTCCAGTGTACAGCTAACAACTCTATGCTAACGTAAGCGTCTGGAGAACCCACGATCATGTGATAAAACTGGAATATTTTTTTCTGTAAAATAGAAAATATTGAAGATCACCACAAGTATTTTCGATGTGATTGTTAATTTTTCCCTGTTTACTTTGGGAAACCCTTTGCTATTATGTGTTGTTTATTTTTTACTCTGTGAACATCTTTGTACAAGTGGAAAAAGTGATATCATTAAATGAATATCCAAAAATACAAATCATCCTTTTTGTATTTCTTTCTATACATTTTTGCTGGTGTTTTATTATTCTTAATGGTCTATAGCTGCCTTAACATTTACAATCAGTCTATGCCACCTTATTGGCAAACAACACTTAGCGTGTGCCTGCCAACTTTTTGTTGCCATTGTCATTCACCAATCGTATTCCTAGCTATATGGCCACTAGTATTATTAAATTAAAAGAAGCTCTGCTTGTTTTATGATCACACTTTTGCTTCAGTCTGAACACAAGTAGAGTGGCTACAGCAATACAAACACCACAAAGTGCCACTCCTGTCATCTAAGTCTCTGCTGTAATATTCAGAGTGAGGATTTTGCATAAGCACGTCAAAATGTAATTGGATCAGCACTTCAGGTGCAGCTTGGTGTGGAGAATTTTTAATCACACTTTGAGCATCAGTAATCCAAGTATTATTGTTATTAGCTTTTTGATTATTAAGTAGTACCATCACCATCCCTTTATGAACACCATTTTCATCTTCTACTTCCAGCAGGATAAAGAACCATGTCACAAAGCTCATATTATGTCAGAATGGTCTTGAACATGACAGTACGTTCACTATAATTAAACCCATAGGGCACCATTGGGAATAGGTAGAACAGGAAAGCTATTCTATAATGTAAACACAGAGCAATATAGATGGCAACATAGTGAATCTATGATTTAAAAAGGATTTAATGCAGTTCTAAAGACAAAAGGCAGTAAAACCTAGTATTAAGACGTACCTAATAAAATGGCTGGTGATCACAGACATATTATGTAGGTTCAGCCTCAGTCACATAGACCTAGAGACCTATCAGAGACCCCCTATAACAACCTCTGGTCACAACCTGTTGGTGAGTGGTTGCGGGCTGTTGCTAGGTGAAATGGTCACATAGAGGAGATCATTCGTCCTCAAAGTAAAGGTTGCGCTCAGAGTGGGGCACAACCTTACTGGTTTGTATTTCACATTTTCAAGTTTCAGTACAGCTTGGTGTGTGTTTGCGAGTCAAGTCGGTGAATACTGTACATTCCTAGTACAGCGTTCTGGCAATGAACAAGGCGACTGCAACGAGCTTTTTTGTGCAGCACCCTCTTTGTTACCAATTTCACCAGACATCAACTACTTCAAACTGAACTGGAAAAATGTGTTTTTCATCATTCAGTTTTGGCAATATCTTTGACATCTTTCACTCTAGTCTACATGTCAAAGCGTCGTTGAACAAGATACTGAACTCTGAGTCCATTTACCATTTAGAGAAAAACTGACTTCAAGGTCAGACGTTTGAAGAAGCTCTCTCTGTTATGTCTTTGGTAGAGCATTTGTTTCAGGTTAAAAACTAGATTGGGTAATAAGGTGAATCCTGTTTTTTTTAACTTAGTACTGGCAGATATCTCAAACCAGGGTATCTGTATCGGATAGTAAGTGGAAAAACATTGACCGTGCAACCCCTTCTACAAACTATTGAATTCTGTCTGCTGAATCCAGCCATAATCCACTACCCAAAACAAACGTTTATAACTGTTTAATGTCGTCTTTCAGTGCACGAGAGGTCTTGTAATTCTTCCTTGCCAGCAGTGTGCTGAAGGCAAAATGGAAATAAAGATTATGATTGAAAACAGGCAGAGGAAGGTAATAAATGGATTTAACCATTATGACTGACTCACTAAATAAGTAAGCGTTGTTTGCTAACCCGTACAATAAACAGAACTGCCCACCCATGTGTTTTATAGGTAGGATGTTGGTATGGGGATTGATGCAGGATGCAAGCACACACCCCCACACCCACAAACAAAAGCAAACTGGCCCATAGCTGTGAGCGGTTGGTCCCACGCTAACAACACAAACACATAAAACAGCACCACTCCTGTCATGCAGGCACTATTATATCAATTTGCTCAGATGGCACAAACTTCCTGGTGAAAAAAAACAGAGGAAATAATGCAGGAACCTAGAGGTTAGTGGGTTTTAACTGTTTTTTGTCCTTTTAAAGCAGTTTTAGCCACCATGTTTTTTTGAGGTTCTCAATATTTATCCAAACTGCTATAGACACACTTTTTTTTAAGGTGTAAAGGGACTTACCGTCTTTTGTACAAATAATTATTACTGTATATGTGCAAGCTGCAGTGACTCAAGGTTTGAGAATTGGATATGTAAGTAAATAGGAAGAGGTGGAACAAAGGAAGTTTCTGTGTGTGGGTTCTCTCCTTTCCTACTGTAGAACAGTTCCTCTTTTTTCCCCCTGGCTTTAAAGGAAATCTGGTTCCTGGACAAGAGCCAGTTTTGACACTCACTCAGCCCACCCTGCTCAGTGGTCCCTACTGTAGTTTTGTAATTTCAAGAGACTCTTTTCACACACACACACACACACACACACACACACACACACACACACACACACACACACACACACACACACACACACACACACACACACACAAATCTACATAAAGTTATCTTTTTTCCCTCTTCTATTCCTTTTCTTGGCCTTTCTTTTCCCCGCATTCCCTATTTTTTCTTTCTAATTAGTTTCCACATTCAGGGTTAAGAAGAGGCAGCCAATGACAGAGTGTTGGACCACGGGGTCATGTGGCTGCAGGCAGCATTTGCCTTCCCTCGGCACTTTACAATCTTTAATTCAATTGACCTTTTCGGTCGTTTCTCTCCCCTCTCTCTGCCGCTCAGTTTTCAATTTTCCAAATATCCCCACTGCCCACACGACACATCTGACCTCCCAGTAACCTCCAACCATCTCTCGGACATCAGTCTAGATTATTTACAGTCAGCAGTTGAGGAAATGAAATTATTGACAAAAATCATAAGATGAAGCATTCAGCCTATTATAACCAGCAAAGAAAAAGCAGATAAATAGATGACTGATATCTTCAGTATAAGAACATCTATACTGGTGCAAAGGTTACTGCTTTAGTAATGTTCATCAGCACACACAAACTGTGTTTTTTCCTTATCAGAGGAGAGAGATTCGTAGTATTGCTGAGCTGTATTTCGTTCCTTGTGATGTTGGTGTGTGGTACAAAATAAAATTGTGGCAGAAGAGAGTAAAAGAGCAAAGGGGGAAAAGAAAAGCTCAGCAGGGAAAACACACGACCACTTTGTTTTTTGGATCCAGGTTCTCCAGCTCTAGTTTTTTGGCTCTCTGCAAACTTCTTCTCCTGCCTCACATTCCACATTTCCCTCCTCTAAATCTTCCTGAAAAGTACTAATAACAGATGAAGGCTGGTGTGCCACTGGTTCCTCTCATGCCATACTACTGTATGCCTGTTCCAGCAGATGGCCTAGCTGCTGCTCTGACCAAAAAAAAAAAAAAAAGCAATGAGGAGAGAAAGAAGGGAACATCAGAAAGAAAGAAAAACAGGAAAAGAAAGCAAAGGAAGAATTTGACTTTGGTTAGTTCTTGGCAAAATACATCAGCAGGCACACATGTGATTCATTTCACGTGCAGTTCGGTGAATTATTAGAAATAAAAACAAATGGCAGCCTGATTTCCCGAGTACAGATATTTCTGTCCATGCTAGGCTTGTCATTTGTGTCTCTTTCAGTCATCGTCTCACCCTCGCAGGAGAGCGCTCACTGATCCTCCATATCATTTCTACAGTGGATGGACAATGCAAGCTGGCAGTTAATGTACAACAGAGGCAAATGGGGGCTCTACATTGATTTTAAAATGGATTTACATATAGCAATACCCTAGGGCTGCAAGCATTTTAACTCTTAATTTAATTCATCACTTATGGAAAGAATAGTACTTTTTCACATTCACATGTTCGTTTGACCTCAGATCTCAGTCACGTGAGCATAAAAGAGGGAAAAATCTATGTTCCCCAAACAATAGCAAGCAGCTGCTGGTGCTGCTGTTCAATCGAAACGTTCTCAACTCAACTATTCAAGTTGTTGTGACAAGTGTGAAATGAAATAAACTTTTCCTTTATTAATTTTCTTCATTATTGCTTCATTCAGGCATTTTACGTTGCTCTGGCGTTTGGCAGACAAGATTTCTGTGTGGTTTTTCACAAGCTAGCAAGGTGTCTAAAGACTCGAAGAAAAATCTAAACAGAAATGAGAAAACCAGAAATGAGGAGTGATGAGCCAACGAGTGCTGCAATATAAAAAGCAGAGGATGGAAAGAATTAGAGGAAATTAAAGAGGTGGAGCACTGATGAAATGCAAGGGGAGGGGGTCTGCTGTTTCTGGCTGAGTCCAAGCAAGGCCACAAGAACTGATAAATTTATCCGTCTTTGGAAATCGACTGATGCGGGGTCTGACAAGCTGAAGTTGTGGAGGTGTTGAGTGTGTGCATGTGTGTTTCTCTGTGCCCAACAGTCAGCAGGGAGCACCTAAAAAGTACCGCCTATCACCCTTGGAAAGCAACCCAAGTGTGGTTCTCATTTGAAAGGAATGGAGGGATGGAGGCTGGGGAGATTTTATTTATTTACAAAAACATAAGCAAATGAGTAATATGGTATTAATGAGATGAGGTTCTAGCAGATGGTGAGGAGGTCATAGAGGGTGAAAAGGGTGCAGGAGGTCTTAAATAGTTGTAAACACTAAATTCAATTACTGTAGATGAAACTCATGCAAGGAAACAGTTTTTTGGGCCTCCCTTTGTTAAAAATATAACTAGCTATAACCATCATGGCACTAAGCTCTAATTAATTAATAGCACGAGTTCTCAAGCTGGACCTTAGTAAGGTTACTAACCTCACATGCCCCTTTTAAGAAAAGCTGTGATGAAAAATGATGAAGGTCTAACCACAGCCAGCATAGTCCAAAACTCCAGTGCCTCAACACTGACAGCTGAAATCTGACAAAGCGAGTGACATTAAATGGCCCTCTTGGTTATTTATTTAGTTGAACTGTCTGTTGTGCTGTTAATACTCTTACAAAGCACTTAGCTCTTAAACTGAGAGTAGAGTGAGTATTACAAACAACCACAAAAAGGCAAAAAAGAAAAGAAAAGAAGAAGCAGAAGAAAAATCAGTGTTCAATCTCTCAAGATAAGATTCACATATTGCAAAGAGACTCTTGTTTCTAAGATCGCACAAAGTTACTGAAACTCTCATTTAGTCACAAAAAGGAGGCAAAAAATGCATTGTGGTGAAAGTGGGGGTCACCAGTGGGAGAGGATCTTTTGCCTGTTTGGCCAAATCTGCAGTGGTGATTTAAAAAAATTTACTTGTGTGTTTCACGAGATAAGTACAGCTTCACTGACTGAGTATAAGAAACATATCGTACAAACAAAAAAGACTGAAACGTCAGATGAGGCTGAAATAGTAATTTAACAATTGTTTGTGATGTGTTTTGGGGTTTTTTAAAGTGCAGGTCAAGTAAGCATTTGCTACGTCAAACATACTCACAGTCTCCGCTGTTGGAAAACTGCACATGTGGCTAAATATTGGGAAAATTGGCCAAAATGCCATAAAAACAAATTTAAAAACTTTTAAATCACAACATAAATATTTAATAAGAGCCATGTGAGACATCTGCAGCATGCATGGAACTGATTTTGGACTGAGCCTGGGAGATATTTGACGTGTCCAGAACCAAAATTACAACCCAAATCCCCCAAATCAACAATTAAATTAGGACAGCACACAATTTCTCATGTATTTACACATTTGTCCTTTCAACAGGACAAAAAGCATGGAGTGCAAACAGTGTGTGGTGTGACTTGCAAAACATCTTCTACTCTCCCCTTTGGTTTTCTTTCTTTCTCTCCCCCTCTTTCTCTCATTCATTCCCCCTGTCCTATTTCTTAAAAAGAAAAAAGGGAAAAAAAAAAAA